GTTCGGGCGTTCGGGCTGTCCTGAACGCTGGTTACCCTGTGTATCTAACAACTCCCATAAAACTTTTCGGCCGCGGACGCGACTCTCGCCTCTGCGATGGTCCACGTTAGTGTTTTCCCGTGGAGACGTCTGATGTAAAAATTCTGACGCGCGTCGCGAAGCGTGAGACGTCCGATGTAAACTTTTCGGACGCGGACGCGACTCTCTCGTCTGCAATGGTCCACGTTAGTGTTTTCCCGTGGAGACGTCCGATGTAAAAATTCTGACGCGCGAGTGACTAAGTCGCGAAGCGTGAGACGTCCGATGTAAAATTCTGACGCGCCTGATGCAGCACGCCTGACGCGTTTGTTTTGTTTCGGGCGAGCGTTTCGTTTTGTTTTTTTAGTTTTGCTTTCTTTTATCGCTAGTTTTGGAAAAGAGGTCGGGCGCTCGAATCCTGGCGGGCCTGTTGGGTTCAGCGTTTGATTTTCTTTTGGGCGAGTGCGGTTTCGTTTGGGGTCGGTGGGTGGGTGCTTGGGGTCGGTCGGTAGGTGCTTGGGGCACGTCGGTTGGGTGCTGGGACCGGTCCGTGGGTGCTGGGGCCGATCGGTGTCTCGGGGATGGTGGGTGGGTGCTTGGGGTCGGTCGGTAGGTGCTTGGGGCACGTCGGTTGGGTGCTGGGGCCGGTCCGTGGGTGCTGGGGCCGGTCGGTGGGTGGGTGCTGGGGCCGATCGGTGGGTGTTTCGGTGCTCGGGGTGGGTTGGTGGTTGGGGTGAGTAGGTGGGGGGGTGTTCGGGCTGGGTCGGTGTTTCGGTGCTGGGGCCGGTCGATGGGTGGGTGCTGGGGCCGGTTGGTGGGTGGGTGCTGGGGCTGGTCGGTGGGTGGGTGTTGGGGCCGGTCGGTGGGTGTTTCGGTGCTCGGGGTGGATTGGTGGTTGGGGTGAGTAGGTGGGGGGGTGTTCGGGCTGGGTCGGTGTTTCGGTGCTGGGGCCGGTCGGTGGGTGGGTGCTGGGGCCGGTCGGTGGGTGGGTGCTGGGGCCGGTCGGTGGGTGTTTTGGTGCTCGGGGTGGGTTGGTGGTTGGGGTGAGTAGGTGGGGGGGTGTTCGGGCTGGGTCGGTGTTTCGGTGCTGGGGC